GCATTAGGTGCCATAGTCTTTGTCGAAATATCATCCCATAAGTCTACCCCAAGAATTTGTCGATAAGGTTTAACTTTCGTTACAATATCATCACCAGACATTTGAAAATATCGAATTAAAGGAATACATTTGTCAAGTGTAGTCTTTAAATCTAAGAAACTCTTTTCAGTCCATTGTTTAATATCAGAAGGCAAATCTTGAGTTTGTGCTTTTCCCCATTGAATAACCTTATCCCAAATTACCGACTCCTCCATCTGTAAATCATCTCTTTTTAAAAGAGTTATCAACGCATTTTCTTGAATAGTAATAAAGTTATCAGAATCAAAAACTAGGTTAGGATGTTTCGCAAGAATATCAGTACAGAAGGTTTGTAACGTCTTAAAATTATTATCTTGAAAACTGGTAGAATAAACTTGAGTAAAGTTTAGTCGAAGCCATGATGCTTTGTTATCAATAAGATAAGACTGAATATATTCAACTAATTCAGTTAGACCTAATTTGTTGGACGGAATTAAAAGATCAAATACAGTTGATGATTTAACCTTTTCTAATTGGATTATACCAGTGTATATATATCTAAAATAATAAACCTTAAATTATTATTTAATACAAGGACAATTTTAGTTCGCTAGAAGTGAAATTCACCGAGTATTCTATTTCTTAAAAATAGCTAAAACTATTAGTATTTTGATTAAAATACTAAGTAAAAATGTTGCCTAATATCCAACTAAAGCATTATTAAATCTAAAATTTGAGGCAAAACCTTCTACAATAATAAGGTTTAAAAAACATGTACTGGTGAATTTCATCTCTAGTGAATCTTAAGCATATAGCTAAGTCGATTATGAAATAAATCGCTTACTTAATTAAAAATTTAAAAGCTTCAACAGAAATATTAGTTAAAGCAATTTCAATAAGATTATTCTTTTTAGTTGCGATTGATAATTCTTGACGAAAAAATGATGAGCGCTGATATAAAACTAATGAATGTAGCTTAAATATTTGTTCGTCAACTTTAACTATAACATTATAATCATATTCGGTTTCAAGAAGTTGTGCAAAATCTTCGGAGAAACGTTCAAGTAATTTAGTATTTATTTGCGACATTAGTAAGTTTAAAGGTAAGATTATTATGTCGTGACTAGAATTTTTGCTTTTTTTAATATATCTGTAGGTGCAACCTTAATCAGCAATTTCAGATTGGTAGTGGTACCAGTCACAACATATATGCGTGTTACAGAACTATCACTTTTTTTATTGTTAAATGTTGCAGTACATTTAAATAGTAGATAAATAAGAATGATGCTAGATATCAAATAAAATTATGCTTTTATGTCGTCCAGAAGGTCGGTCAAATTCTTTCATATAAAAAAGAACAATTTTATATATTTTATACATTTAAACCAATTTGTTAATCGCTACAATTTTGCTGATACACCTAAAATTATAAGCTCATTGAGAACATATACTGTAAGATCAATTAAAATTACGTCACATTAGTTATACAATATTTTGATCATTAGGAAATTGCATCAAGGAAGATTCTTGAGAACTCATTTAAGCTCTAACAGAGCAATAAAATTATCTCTATAAACACACACTTGATTAAAATATTCATAGAAAGTTTTCAATGTCCTTGATTATGAGTTTGAAAATTCAAACCAGTTTTTCAAGACTTGAAATACTTCAAATTCATCAATTAAAAGATTAGAACTATCAGGTCTAAATTGTTTTTTATAATATTTTTTCTTATAACCGTAACACCATATATTAACATCAATTGCTGTATAGAAAGCACCACTGAAAACTGGACCATAAATGCGATTACATCCAATTACTTGATTTGCATAATAATTCTACTAAGGATGGAATTCGTTTAATTTAGGGTTTTTAATGAATAAATAAAACTATCTGTGTTGTAAACCAATCAACTTTTTTACGAGACAACCAGACCAATGGATTATATCTACCAAGTATTTCATTTGTGCCATTAATCTTAATAACTGTCACGGTACCAGAAATATAACCTGTGAAATGTTTTACGAGTAATCCGTCTTTACTTCCTCTAAGAAGTTAATTAAATTTATAAGGTATTTTGTAGCAGCATATATCGATGATCGACGATCAACCCAAGACGAAATCTCAGCAAAATGTTTATCATTAATAATAGATGATTAGTTCTATTATCATATTTATTAGGGATTTCAAAATTAACTTATTTCGAAAATAAGTATGAGTTCAAAAAATCTCATTTACGTTTGAAATTCTGAAATCAGATAACTAAATAGGTTGCAAAGGATTACGAAATTTATAACCTTTTTTTTTTTTTTTAAAAAAAAAAAAATTCTTTTAGATCGCTTAATATATGAGATTATTTATCCGAAATTAGATTTTAACAGTGCTTGGCTTACATAAATTTAATAGACTGAATAGATCTATATCTGATATAGATTGAATAAATTTATTAAGAAAAGTAACAAAAATAAATATATAAAGAGCCTCTCTAAATATACTTTTTAACTGCATCATATACCTCAGTTTTAGGAAATTTTGTACTTTAATTAATGAGAAGAAAATGCATCGGAAATTAAATTTTAATTAGTGAACTCATCAATAAGGTAATTATCGTAAATTACTGACTCGTACACCCCCCTATGAGTTGTACCAGGGGTATTCTATGAATAAAAATTCGATTCACATCCAAATTCTATCCATATCATGCCTCGAAAAATAGTATCTTTATACTTTGAAGAATACATTTAAATCCCTCAAAACCAATCTATCGAAGCTGATAACCTATCGAATATGATAAAAAATTTATCCACCAAGTCTGTTTCGATATATAAATTTAATAATCCATAGTGTTTTCAAATTTGATATCTGGTACCACCGTGCATATCATTTTAGGAGGTTCAACTATTTCTAGCTGGTGTAAACAGTGAAGACAAAATTGATCGAGAAGCGTATAGCGGGTAATCTCTAGTCTTTGTGAATAGTCGTGTACAAGAACTGCAGTTTACTGTACGATACGGGAGTTTATTAAATCAAGAAAAAACAAGCATTTTGCCTCAAATCATCTTTTTTTTGCACAAATTTATCAAGACTTTATTATTACAATGCTAGAGTAAAATAAAGTTATTGTTAACCAGTTTCACATTTTTATTATTTTATCCAGTAAATAGATATTAGAAGCCTAAAGATATGTAATTATTTCGGTGACACATTACGGACAAATTTTTTAATAATACATGGAAATAGGTATAATTCGTAATAAGCAATAGATGCAACCAGATTTATGTTTCTTATTATTTCTTTTGTATTGTAAATTTAGATAACTTTTAGTAAACCATTTAGAATTGATAAAGGCTGCCCAAGATCGACTAAAGTCTTTATTTTGATCTATTGTAATAATTGTGTGTCACTACAATTAATCTAAAATCATAGTAAAATGGTACCCAGCAATTCTAATTTAATATCCCTATTCGCACTATTATTTATATCTAAAATACTAACAATAATAGTTAAAATTATTTCATAATACTAGTGCACCATTTCGATCATCAGAAATCGCATCAATGAAGCGCTCAATCTCTAATAACAGTAATAAAATTATCTCCGTAAATGCACTTGTATCTAGCTTTAAAAAAAAATTTAAGAGAAAGTTTTCATCATCTTCGGTTACGAGTTTAATAAGTCAAAATCAATTTTTCAATATTTGAATTACTTCAAATTCATCAATTAAAAGGTTAGATTCACCAGATCTAAGTTGTTTTTCATAGTATGCATTTTGATGACAGCAAATCCATTCCTTACCATCATTTGGCTTATAAAAAGAAGTGCCAAAAACTGGACCATGATTGCTATAACATCCAATTACTTCCTTTGCACGGATAATTCTACTAAGGATTGAATTAGATAAATTTTGGGGTTTTAATGAAAAAATAAAACTATCTTTTGTTGTAAACCATTCAATTGAATTACGAGACAACCAGACTAATGGATTATATCC